TTCTTTTTATTTAATAATAGTCGAAAAAATTTTGAGGTCCCCCCTTCCCCTTTGTACCAATAAGATTCAATCATCCTAGAACTTGAATATCCAATCATAAGATCAAAAGTTATTCAGGGTGATCCATTTAGTAATATATATATTCACGATGTATCACGTTATTTCAAAAGTTCGAAGATGACCTCTTATATGGGCTGAGTAATTTCTACATCACTTTTGACCGATTGATCGGATCTGAAGATGATTGATCGAATCGAACCATGAAGATTGTGACCATGAGACTCACAATCTTCATGGTTCGTGAGGGTGGTCTTAAATATGCTAATTAAACAGGGCAGATGTTATTTTAAGTTACAAACACAAAAACGTACTTTCTCTGAATAAATATACCTTTTTTATTCAATGAATTCAGATTTTTCCTATCCCCGAAATATAGAGGGTGACCGCAATCTGGGAAATATGATCTCCATAGTTGGCTAAGGAGATCGGTCCAAAGTCTAGAATCTTTAATGTTAATTCTGCTTTTTGCGTACTTCGTCATTTCTCGAAAGCTTTTTAAGCGAATTGAAAATTTTTTGTACACAATTATAAGACTCGTTTGTCTAATGGCGATCGAAATGGGCTGCATGTGGCGTAAAGCTGAACTCTCTACCTATGGCAACACTTCACATGCTTTCACCATTAGCGTGTGGAAAGTCATAGAGGAAGGAAGTACGTTAGTTTCTCTCTTGATTTTCATATAGATTAAAATCTTTTAAGTTGGAAAACTATAAGGGACTGAAAACTACATTAGACATAGTTCTACAGAAAAGCATCATGGAAATTTAAAAAAATATTTTTATTAAATAAAAAGGAAAACTATTAAGAAAAGGGAAAAAATCGTTGTACAATCCTATGGATGGTGTTTTCTTCACTAGGGAATGCTGCAAGCTCGGTACCGCCTAAATTTTCGGGTTACTGTTTCCGTTGTATTTCAAAGCCATTTGGCATCATTGTGTTTTGAGATTCTTGCAAACAATCTATTTGATTACTTATTACCAGGGCCGTCTTAATAGCAAGCAGGGCCCCCGGGCACAGAAATGTTTTAGGCCCCTATTACATTTCATACTGTTTAAAATAGAACTAAAAAACTTCACACGCATAAAATTAAGCATTTTTAAGATATGCAATAATTTTAACAAAGATAAAACACATTTTTATAGCCCCAAAAACTCAATACACATAAAATAAAGCATTTTTAAACTAGGCATAATTTTTCTTAAATAAATGAGATGCTAACAAATTGCAATCCTCAAATAGTAAGTAATTTTCAAAACGAAGAAGCTAATTAAAATAAGTAAATTAAAAAGCATAGGGATATAAAAAAAAGTTTTGTATTTTATTTTGTAACCGTCGCTGAACAGCCAACCCAATTTTTGGGTTTACGTCTACCAATGTTCAATTCCGCAGCCTTGTAATTTTGAACCAATCCAGAAGACAAGGAAACTCCTGGATCAGTACCCCCAGAGGTATGACTTGTTATGGGAACATGGAGGACTTTGTGACTCGACAGACTTAACGTGCATCAGTCC